CTCCACTGCTGCCAAGAGGCAGAGAACAGCTGGAAGGCGTGGAGGGCTCCTGCCCCGGGATGCTCGTCTCCCCCAGGAACTCAGACATGTTCTTGCGACGGCGGCCAGGGGCCTGGCCAGGGAGGAATGGTCAAGCGCAGCTCCCACTAGCCCCACAGCTCCACACTGGGGCTTCCGGAACACAAATCAACCACGCAGGCAGAAGTGTCTCTGCATCCTTGACCCAGGGTACCACCTCCCCTGAGACCAGATGTCCAGACACAGATTCACCCCAACTACTGCCCCAGGCCACCCAGCCATAAGCAGGGAACAGGTAGGAAGAAACTCAGGGTTACACACACACACACACACACACACACACACACACTCTCTCTCTCTCTCTAAGAAGCCCCCACAAGCAAGAGCTTCAAAAGGTTCCATTGGTGCTGAAGAGATGGTTCAGCAGTTAAGAGCAAGAACAAAGAACACTGGCTGCTCTTGTGGAGGGCCTGGGTTTGGTTCCCATCACCTACACGGTATCTGGCAACTGTAATAACAGTTCCTGGGGATCTAATGCTCTATCACGGCCTCCAAGGACGCTGAATGTATGTGGCACACATACATACATAAGCAAAGCCCTCATACACATAAAGTAAAAGAAAAAAAAAATCCTAAAAAAATTTAAATGCTCACCGGGCAGTGGTGGTGCACACCTTTAATCCCAGCACTTGGGAGGCAGAGGCAGGGAGATCTCTGTGAGTTTGAGGCCAGCCTGGCCTATGGAGTGAGCACCAGGACAGACGCCAAAGCTACACAGAGAAACCCTATCTTGAAAGAGAGAGAGAGAGAGAGAGAGAGAGAGAGAGAGAGAGGAGAGAGAGAATCTCTGAAAGAGCCAGGAGTGGTGGTACATGCCTTTAATCTCCTGGGAGGCAGAGCCAGTGTGATCTCTGTGAGTTTGAAGTCAGCCTCCACTATATAATAAGTTCCAGGGACAGGCAAGGATACACAATGATACCCTGTCTCAAAAATAGATAGATAGATAGATAGATAGATAGATAGATAGATAGATAGAGATAGACAGACAGACAGACATAGATAGAAAGATAGATGGATGGATGGATGGACAGACAGAACAACAGAAAAGAAAAGGGACAAAACCCACGAAACATTCATACCCAGTGGGTAACGTATTCTGACTTCCCAACACAAACATGCTGTTGGGAAACCTCATTCTTCCTGCCCTACAGATAACATACCCCACGTCCTCTGACTCCCTGGGCACTAGAACAGAGACAAAACCCACCATCTAGACCAGTTACATACAGAGAGAGACCCCTGTTCTCACAGCCAACCACACCTTGCAGAAATGGGACCCAAGCCCCAAGAGAGATGCCGAGGAGAGTCCAACATGACTCTTCCTTAGGAGGTTTCCTGCCCTACATCCGTCCCGACAGGCCCTCCTGCTCACCAAGATGTCCAGACTGTTCTCTCGGCGGTTCTGAGGGTCCACACGCTCCGATACAGGTGGCCCAGCTCCTGTGGGCCTCAGGATGGGCAGACTGAGGGACTTGGAGTCCTTCACTCCCAGTTCCACTTTGCCTTCATCTCCCGGCTTGGCTAGCATGGCATGTGGAAGCGCAAGATGCCCTCAGTGCCCAAGCACAGGAGGCACAGAGGCCCTAGTCCTCTTTCCCCTGAGGATTCCTGTCTAGGCCTCACTACCCTCCCTGGAAGCCCCACCCTGCCAACCCAGCAAAGACACCTGTATGTTAATGAGTCTGTTCAGGAGCATGGCCAATGGGAACCTGAGCCCAGGAAAGACTCCACAGCTTGGAGGCCCCAACAAGCCCCAAACACCCCACCCAGCTAGCTGGCCCTGGAGCCTGCTGCTCTGCTCACCTTTGACCCTCAGGTAGTGTCCTCCAAACCGGTAGGCCTCAAATGTGAGGGACAGAGGTGTGTTGGACTGGTCCAGGTAGATATCCACTTTACCCAGTGCGATGCCTTTCCTTTCGAACACAGGCAGGAGCACCTCCCTGCCCCCAGGAAGAAATGCATGTTTTAAGGGAGCGATCATGTGACTCCCCAGCCCATCCACAGACACAGTTCCAGCCACCTCCCCAATAAAAACACAAAACGCAGCAGGCACAGCATCTCACACGCAGGTACAGACACCCGCCCCCAGGGCCTTACAGGTCCTCTTGGGCACACACGCAGGTATAGACACCCGCCCCCAGGGTCTTAGAGGTCCCTCTTGGGCACACACGCAGGTATAGACACCTGCCCCCAGGGTCTTAGAGGTCTCTCTTAGGCACACACGCAGGTACAGACACCCGCCCCCAGGGCCTTACAGGTCCTCTTGGGCACACACGCAGGTATAGACACCCGCCCCCAGGGACTTAGAGGTCTCTCTTAGGCACACACGCAGGTATAGACACCCGCCCCCAGGGACTTAGAGGTCTCTCTTGGGCACACATGCAGGTACAGACACCCGCCCTCAGGGACTTAGAGGTCTCTCTTAGGCACACACGCAGGTATAGACACCCGCCCCCAGGGACTTAGAGGTCTCTCTTGGGCACACACTCAGGTACAAACACCTGTCCCCAGGGCTTTACAGGTCCCTCTCGGGCACACATGGAGGTACAGACACCCGCCCCAGGGCCTTACAGGTCCCTCTCGGGCACAGCTGTACAGTCAGGATTAGAGTGCACAGGTGAGCCTCGTGACCGTGTCACATCCACATGGGTCTGCCCACAGGAAGGGTGTGCACATACATGGGAGTGCATAGACACACGTATACACACAGAGAGACGCAGGCAGGCAGATGCTTGCACACACACACACACGCGCACACACACACGCACGCGCGCCAGGAGCCTTGACAAAGGAACTCCATCTGTCCTACCCCCACTTCCTCCTCAGGCCCTACCCCAGTGACTTCTTCTTCATGGCTGGCACAATTTCTGTTTCAATGTCCACGTTGAGGTCAAATTTCAAAGTGAAACACTCCTTGCTTGGGTCCTGAGGGTACATGTATCTGTTAGCATCTCCACGGCCACCCCACTGCTTACCTGACACATCCTGTGGTCCAGATAAATCCCAACAGGGGCTCCCCGGTCCTACTCTTACTCCCAGAGTTCCACCGGCCCAAGGAGTTCCAACCCGCCCCCGCCCCCATCGCATCTGGGATATGCAGGCAGCTCTGAGCTCATCTAGACCCCCATCTCTGGCTGGAGTTCTCAGCAGGGAGACTAAACTCAGGGAAAGAAAAGGCCTGGAAGAGAAGGGGGTTTTCTGGGAGCATGGCCCTCCTGGCTCCTTACATCTGTGTGCCTCCTTCTTGCTTTCTTCTTGGAGATCTTTAGGCCGGTGCTCTTCCGGTCCCTGTAGGGAGGCAGATGTTGAGGTGCAGGTGGGTCCTTCCCAGTGTGGATGTAAGTGGGACTCTCCCACCCTTGATCACTAGGAAGTTAATTTGGATGCATTCTACCAGGCTGCCTCTGTGGGACTGTCTGCCCTCTGGTGGCCATCAAGGGAATCACACACAATGGTTAACTAGTCAGGATGAGCCAACCAGGCGTGTTGGCCTGAGCAAGGGTCGTTTCCTCTAGAACAAGGCAAGGCAGGGGTGCAGAGGGATCAACCATCATCTCTGGAGAAGGACACTGAAGTGTGTGGTCCCTGGTCTCACTCCTATGGTGATGCTTTGTTCACAGACCACACCTACCCTCTTCCATCCACACAGTCCTCCTCTTCCTCCAGATCTGCAGCAGGGCTAGTGCGTGGGGGACAGGAGCGGGTGGAGACATTCCGGGCCAGGACAGAACCTTTGAAGAAAGGGAGCAGGGGTTATAACCTGACCCCGCTCCCTCTATGGTCCATCCTTAACCCTGAAATCGGCCTCTTCCAAAGGCAGAGCCTGGAGCTCCCCAGCGGCTCAGGCCCTTCAGTTCTGCCAAGAATGGGATGTTCGTTATTATCTATTTCCCCAGACCCTGAAGGACCACAAGCCTTTGGATGACATACCAGTGATGCCCCACTCCAAATACAAACCCACCTGTAGCCTCAGTTACCTTTCTACAGCACGAGGATAAGAAAGCCATGCCTCTGGAGGCTGTCTCCGACAGGGACCAAATCCATAGATCTTCCTTTTAGGCCTCCCCTCCCCCCTCTACCACAATCACACCTGAAGTCCCAGGAGCCCTGGAGGAGTGGAGAGTCCCTTTGTGTCTCTAACCAGCTGGGAAAGGTGACAGTCAGACTGGGTGTCTTCCAGAGCCAGTCTATTCAGCAGGTGAGTGTAAAACCCAGGATCCATCTTTGGAGGCCCCTCCCTTGTGCCCCTTGAACCTTGGTCCCTCCCTGAGGAGGGTCAAGGTAGCCCGCCAAAGCTTGACCCCTCCCCAGAAAGGTCAAAACCACTCCCCCAGGCTATTTAAGACTCCTCCCATTGGTAAAGTTGGCAGCTTTTCGGTTCCCCTCAGGGCCACCCGAGAGCTCAGGAGTCCAATTAAACCTGGATATCTTTTAATTTCATATGGTTTGATTTGGCTTGATTGGGATTATTTTGCGTCGGCAGACAGCTCGCATTAGAAAATATTCCTAACATCTTGGAGGTCCACGGGGTGAGGGCAACCTTTCCCGTGGCCCACAGCCACGTGTTGAAAGCACCCTTGTCCATCCGCACCCCCCCCCCCCAGATCTCTGTGCCAGGCTACAGCGGCTGTGTCTTGGTGAGTCCTTTTTTTTTGTCCATGCTATAGGGTTTTGGGGAACCCATTAATGTTTACTTTTGTCGATTATCCGACTTTTGTGGAAGACGCGGGTCATATCCAGAGCGTGACCCAAGCGGTGGAAGCTGACTGAAAGCTGAGGTGGATTTTGTTTGTTTTAGGGATGCCTGGCATTCAATTTTAACAGCCCCGTTCTGGTCTAAGAGCTTTTTTTTTTTTTTAAGTATTTTTTTAAAGTTTTTCGAGACAGGGTTTCTCTGTAGCTTTCAAGCCTGTTCTGGAACTAGCCCTTGTAGACCAGGCTGGCCTCGAACTCACCTGCCTCTGCCTCCTGAGTGCTGGGATTAAAAGAGTGCACCACCTCCGCCCGGCCGCTGTATTAGTCTCAAGCCACACAATTGGGCATAGACTTTTAAAATGGGCGCTTACAATTCTAAGCCAGATCCGCTATCGCCCTGGGATGCCTCTTACAAAATCTTTTTTTTTTAATATTTATTTTGTAAAACATTCTGTCTGTGGTGCAGGCCAGAAGAGGGCACCAGACCTCATTACAGATGGTTGTGAGCCACCATGTGGTTGCTGGGAATTGAACTCAGGACCTTTGGAAGAGCAGGCAATGCTCTTAACCTCTGAGCCATCTCTCCAGCCCTCTTACAAAATCATTATAAATTGGGACTGTCTGATACAATCTGTCTCGAACGGCTAATTTCTCTATGCACTAAGATTTGGCCTCAATACTATCTTGACAATGAGACACATTGGCCACCAGAGGGAAACCTTGAGCTTACCGTCCTCCGGGACTTAGAAAATTTTTGTCGCCGCCGTGGGGACAAGTGGACAGAACTCTCCAGTGTCTGGGCTCTGCGTTCTCGCCCCTCCCTCAGTAGCCAGTGTCTTGCGGCGCCTCCAAATTGCCGGTCATCTGGGAATTGAGACCCTGACAATTCCAGCTGGACCATGCAACCAGAGGCACTGGCACCTCCCCCGCTTGAACCCTCACTACCCACCCCCCTCCTGAGGAGCTACATTCTCCACATTCCTTTCCTACCCTGCCCTCACCTACTCCCTCACTAGCTAAACGGAAGTTCAAGATCAACTGTCCCCTTACCCACCAACCTCCCTCCAGCCCCCTCCTCAGCATCTCCCAACCCTTGGACCCCCTATGCGCACTGGGCTAGCCCCGCCCATCCCTCCCCTGTCTCCTCCCATACCAGGTCACCAAAATTCTGCCCATATTCCATTTTCTCTTCCAGATATCTCTCAGATGGAAAAGCGGCTGGGTTCCTTTTCTGCTAATCCTTCTGCTTATATTAAAGAGTTTTGTTATCTGTGCCAGGCCTACGATCTAACCTGGCATGGCTACTGTGTCATCCAAGCTTCTACTCTCACTCCTGAAGAGCCAAGTAGGATTCAGTCAGCAGCTAGACAGTATGCAGACCAGACTCATCTGGCAGACAGTACAGTTCCTGTGGGGGAAGTGGCTGTGCCAGCCACAGAATCACACTGTGACTACCAACCTGGTCAAAGCAGCCAACAGAGGCAGGGCATCATGGTTTGTTGCCTCCTTCAGGGTATGGAAATGGACTCAAATCGGTTACAAGAGACCATGGTCCAATATACCAGGCTAGATCCAGCCTCCCCAGCGGGAGCCACGGTCCTAGCTACCCATTTCATTTCTCAGTCAGCACCAGATATAGGAGAAAGTTAAGAAAGGTTGAGGAGGGTCCCCAAACCCCTATACAGGAGTTGGTGAAAATGGCCTTTAAAGTTTTTAATGCCCACGAAGAAGTAACTGAGTCTCTCCGACACACAGGCAGCAACCCTGCAGGCTCAAGCCTTAGCAGCTGCCCTAAGGCCACTGGAAGAGGGACAAGGGAAGTCAACTATGAGGCTTCATCCTGGTGGAACCAGCCTAAGTCAACCTCACCCGCGGGCTGCTTCAAATGTGGCCTAAATGGACCTCCTATGAGGCCATGCTCTATCTTCCAGCAACCTGGACAGTGGAAATCAATGCCCTCATGCGGGCTCGTCCTCTATGCCACGCCACGGAGGTCCAGGCTCACCAACATCAGCAAGTGAGACTGTGCCAGCCTTTAAACTTCTTAGCCTTGTAGAGGATTGATGCAACCCAGACTTGGTAATTCCCGTAACCCTATCTGAGCCTAGGGTAAAGCTGCAGGTAGCGGGTAAGTCCGTTAGCTTTCTTTTGGACACGGGACCTACCTATTCTGTTTTAACATCTCACTGGGGCCTTATGTTCCCCTCATCAATTTCGGTTATGGGGGTAGACGGGACCCATTCCTCCCCACTTAAAACGTTGCCACTGCCCTCAGGAAACCCCAGGCAGCGTCTGCAGTAGTCACTTCCACTGACACAGTCCAAGAGACCCGCCTGCCAATGGGAACCTCCTCACAAATGGTTAAATTAATTGCCTTGACTAGGGCACTCCAGATAGCCAAGGGCCAACGGGCTAATATCTACACTGCCTCTAAATATGCCTTCTTAATAACCCATACCCATTCTGCACTCTGGATGGAAAGGGGCTTCGTTACTACCAATGGCACTCCCATAGTTAACGGACCCCTTATAGCCAACCTTTTGGAGGCCCTCCAGGTCCCTGCAAAAGTAGCCATTATTCACTGTAGGGACACCAGTCCTCCAAGGACCCAGTGGCCTTAGGCAATCAGTGGCCCGGGGGCTTCCAGCTCCTCAGATTCCACAGAACATTTTGTTCTTAACTCCCTCCTATCAGCCCTGTTACCAACCAGAAGAGGAACGAGCTCATAAAAAGGGGGGCACAGAAACAAAGGATGGGTGGCTCTTTTTAAATAACCGTTGCATCCTTCCTCAAGACCAGGCATTGTCAATCATTTCAGACATCCACCAGACCTTACACATGGGCCCTAAAGCTTTGTTCTGCTTCTTGGAGTTTGACCCCACCCATCTCTGACATCGTATTTCACAGGTTCACTCCTGCCAGACCAACCCACAGTGGGCTCTCCACATACGTCAGTCTCTACACCAGCTTCGTGGACACCGACCAGGTGAATATTGGCAGGTTGATTTCACCCATATGCCTACTCATAAAAAACTCCGTATCTGGGGCTGGAGAGATGGCTCAGTGGTTAGGAGCATTGCCTGCTCTTCCAAAGGTCCTGAGTTCAATTCCCAGCAACCACATGGTGGCTCACAACCATCTGTAAAGAGGTCTGGCGCCCTCTTCTGGCCTTCAGGCATACAGACAGAATATTGTATACATAATAAATAAATAAATATTTAAAAAAAAAAACTCCGTACACTTTTACAGGATGGATAGAAGCGCTTCCGGCCTCCAGGGAAACGGCAGATGTGGTGGCTCAGGTACTCCTGGACCACATCATTCCTGGGACGATCCCACGGACCATCCAGACGGGTGATGGGCCAGCCTTCACTTCCAGGGATGTGGAGCTTATGTCAGAAGCTCTCAATATCTCCTGGAAATGCCACACCCCTACCATCCACAATCCTCGGGAAAGGTCAAGAGGGCCAATGGGCTCATCAAACAACAGCTAATCAAGCTCTCCATAGAACTCAGGTTATCTTGGCCCTCCCTTCTCCCCATTGCCCTTACTCACCTCAGGGCCACGTTCCCCTAGGGCCTGAGCCCTTTTGAGCTGCTTTATGGAAGGCCCTTTCTCCTTAACCATCACCTCCCAGTCCAAACTCCTCCACTGGCGGGGTACCTACCCTACCTCTCCCTTTTAAGGTCCCTTCTCCGTTCACACGCTGACAGTTGTCTCCCTGCCACCACACCAATGGACCCTAATGTCCCTAAACCTGCCCCGTTCTCCCCAGAGGACAAGAGTGCTCCTCAAACAATTAACTCCTAGGTCTCTCGAACCTCGATGGACAGGGCCTCACACAGTAATCCTCACCACCCCCTCAGCTGCCAAGCTCTTGGGACACCCATGCTGGTATCAACTCTCTAGGCTCAAGTGGGCACCTACTCAGGACACTTGGTCTGTCCAGCAGTTAGGACCTTCCACCCTCCGGTGGATGCCACAATGAAGGGCCTACCTGCTCCTCATCCTGGCACACTCATCTTTGGTGATGCAAACAAGAAAGGTAATAACAATTTTTTTTCTCGTAGACACCTGCCTTCTTATCTCCTTCAAGAAGCAGATGCCTGGGATGCATCTCCAGGATGACAGTGTACAGGATGCCTTTCCAGCCACACCTCTCGCTGTGTGGACCCACCAACACCCAGCTCTCCCCACCCACACGTCTCCCGTGCCCGCAGGAAGTAGCCAGACTTGAGTCAACGCCCCTTTTCCAAAGAGAGCCTAAACGTTGGTCATAAGTATCACCTCAGCTTCCTATCACCCCTTATACAAACAGTCTGGTATGTAAATCCCAGTCTCTGGCCTCCATCTTTGGAGGCCCTACCCCTGTGCCCCTTGAACCTTGACCCCTCCCCAGGAAAGGTCAAGACCACTTCCCCATGGCTATTTAAACTGCTTCCCCAAAAGAAAAAATATGTGGTCCTGCCCCCCCGCCCCTCCCCCTTGTGGTCGTGTTGACAGCTTTCCGGTTCCCCTTGGGCCACCTGAGGGCACAGGAGTCCAATTAAACCTGGGTATCTTTTAATTTGGTTTGATTGGGATTTTGTGTCGGCAAAGAGCTCGCGTTAGAAAATATTCTTAACAGAGAGGTTTCTGATTCCCTTCCCCAAGTTCTTTCCAACCACAGTGGCCACCAACCTGCTCTCCTAGGCCAGTGGCCTGGTATGGAGAGTTCGCCCAGAAGCTGCTGGCCTCAAAGATGGGCAGAATGAGGAAGAAAGGGAGCTCCTGTGCTGACCCTGGCCAGCGGCAGGGACAGCTGCAGGAGGTAAGGAGATTTATCTGTAAATTTGTATTTCGTTCTTGTGTTCTTCACGTGGCCCTCCCTACCAGGGTTCCAATAGCTAACCAAGCACCACTTCCACCAAGCGAGGGAATTCTGAGCTGCCCTGACTTCTAGAGGCCAGGTCTGCTCTCGGGCTTACCTTGCGGGGGCAGGTCAAAGCGAACATGTCCATCATAGTGCATGGCGCTGTGGAACTTGCTGTCACAGGCCTCACACAGGTTGAGGGGCCCCCGGCGGTGTAGCTGCTGGCAATCAGCATGGTGGCATACCTGTGGGTGAAAGGTACAGTCAGAATGCGCTCCAGAGAGACACACCAACACTCAGACCACTGCTGTGGTCGTCCACCATCTTCTCCATGAGAGGCCCTCTGCTCCCCTTAGCCGAGTCATCTGGACAGCCTTCCCCGGGCACCCACTGCCTGTTTCCAAGGAATGAGCGAAAAACAAGCCCTGCTCCTGAGACTTCAAAGGATCAACGGTGGGGCAGGGGCTACCGGACCTTTCTGGCAGGAAGAGCCCTCGGAAAGATGCTTGAGACTTCTTCAGTCAGTATCAGAACACCTTAAGCTGTGATTAGCATCAAAGTCTGGCTGCTTGGACCCTCGGCTCTTGGCTCTGCGGTCTGCCTGAGTCTCGAATAGTAGATTCCACCCAGATTGCTACAGACACGCGGAGCTCCCGAGGAGTCCAAAGCAGGTGCTGTGGCTCACACGCGCATGCCCACACACACACACCGGCCTGGAGACTAGATTTGTATCTATCATATTTATCTATATTTATCTCTTCCTCCCCCTTCCTAGAGACCTGTCGGCTTTGTAACCTTCTAACTGCCCAAGGCCTAGGAAATGGCCTGGCCCCAATGCAGACCCGCTTCGCCTCCTGCTTTTCCACAAAAATTTTTAAAAATATCAAAAAAACAAAACAAAAACCAGAAGCTAGCAAGAAGCCCACAGCCTCCAACCATGTCCACACCCAGGGCAATCGGGTCTTCCTATGATTGGCCCTGATCCAATCTGCTGCCAGCTCCTCCTCCCAGATCTGCCCTCACACTTTCACCCCAGACCTCCCATTTCCTGAATGGTCAGGTTTCCCTCCCTCAGCACAGGGCAGGCTACCCCTCCGCCTTAGAGACAGTCCTGGGCACACATCTGCTCACCTCACCCTTTCAGGGAAAGCCGCACAGGATCCGTCTTCACGGCTTAAATGCAATTCTCCACTCTCCCTGCCTTGGCCTTGTGACAGATCTGGGTTATCAGAGGTTTCTCGTTTTGAGATGGTGGGAGTACTAGATAGGGCCTCGCTCTATAGTTCAGGCAGGCCTCAAATTCAAAGCAATCCTCCTGCCTCAGCCTCCCTAGTGCTGGTATTACAGGCGTGAGCCACGGTGCCTGGCTCTCCCCCAGTTTTCATCTTAAAATAGTTCAAGCCCACAGAGAGTTCTAAGAATAGTTCAGCCGGGGGCTGGAGAGATGGCTCAGTGGTTAAGAGCATTGCCTGCTCTTCCAAAGGTCCTGAGTTCAATTCCCAGCAACCACATGGTGGCTCACAACCATCTGTAAAGAGGTCTGGTGCCCTCTTCTGGCCTTCAGGCATACAGACAGAATATTGTATACATAATAAATAAATAAATAAATATTTAAAAAAAAAAAAAGAATAGTTCAGCCTTCTGGATTCTGAGACTATCTGCCTCCTCTCATCCTTTGTGTCTCTGGTGCAGAAATCCCACACGGCCCTGAGTACCAAGAGCCCAGTAAGTCCTCAACCATGAAGCATTCCTCTCTACTCTCTTCTCGGCCTCACCAAGCTGCAAGAACCTGTGATCCTCCTCCTGACGCTGCCCTACAGGACCTAGGATGACAGGCCTGTACCACCAGTCCTAGCTGATGTCCTTTTCTTTTCTTTCTTTTTTTTTTTTTTTCAAGACAAGACAGGGTTCCTCTGTGTAACAGTTCTGGCTGTTCTGAAACTCACTCCATAGACCAGACTGTCCTCGAACTCAAGAGATCTGCCTGCCTGCTGGGATTAAAGGTGTGCGTGTGTGTGTGTGTGTGTGTGTGTGTGTGTGCACGCGCGCGCGCAGATCAGGAAAGAACCTTTAGGAAGAAATTCTCGAGGGTGGTAATGGCACATGCCTTAAATCCCAGTACTCAAGAGGCAGAGTCAGATGGATTTCTGAGTTCAAGGCCAGCCTGGTCTACAGAGCTAGTTCCAGGACAGCTAGTACTGTTACACAGGGAAACCCTGTCTCAAAAAACAAACAAAACAACAAAAAAAGAATTCTCTACCTTGCACTGTGGGTTTCAGGGAACACAGGGAAACCCTGTCTCAAAAAACTAACAAAACAACCAAAAAAGAATTCTCTACCCTTCACTGTGGGTTTCAGGGATTGCGAAGGGTCATGAGCCTCTCCCAGCAAGCACTCTTACCTTCTGGGTCATCTGGTACACCAGCTCCCCTTTCTTGTTTATGTATAGATTTATTGACTTAGAAACAGGTTATTTCCTGCAATGCCCAGGCTGGGTACAAATGATCCCCCTGCCTCAGCCTTCCAAATAGCTGGGACTTGTGCCGGCAAGATTTTCCTCAAAACCCCACACAATGTCCAAACCTTGACAGAGTCCAACTATTGTCCTCTGTGCTCACACGTCCTCTCCCAACAGGATCAAGGCCTTCGCAAACCCTCCCACCCTGAACCCGACTGGAAATCTAGGCTCACACAAGAATCTTCATTTGCTTCTCTTTTTTTACTCATAACATTGACTCTCTGGAGGTGTCTGAATGTTTGCCAGGACAGAACATCACTGATTCTTTTCATCAGAACACTGGATATAGAGATCACTTGGGGAATCTCCCTAAAGCCCCTTTCCTCCTTACAGTGTGTGTGTGTGTGTGTGTCGTGCACACACATGGAGGCCAGGAAAGTGAGTGAGTGTGAGTGTGAGGGGGCGGGGAGAGTGGGAGTGTAGAAGAGTTTCAGGTTGGTGGTTTCAAGCCACCCAGCGTGCGTGCTAGGCACTGAACCAGGTCTCTCCGAAGAGCAGCCAGTGCTCCTAACCGCCACCTCGCCCTCTACCTGCTCCTGGTAGTTAGCAAAGAGTTAATGGCTCACACTGAATCTGCCATCATCTCCGGTCACCTCAAGGGTGACCACAAACACTGATGGTTTGTGCCTGAATCAATCACTCCTGCCGTGGTGCAGGCTACAGGGATTTCCCTTTTCTTTGTCCTGGGCAGGAAAGGGAGGGATAAGAGGCTCTCGTGTACCCCAGCTGGCCTGCAACTTACTACGTAGGTGAGAACGACCCTGCTGTTTCCCTTTTTGTTTTTATAGGTTCATTTTATGTCATGCATGTGAGTGTTTTGCCTGCTTGCATGTGTAACATGTGTACCGTGAGCATGCAGTTTCCACAGAGACCAGAAGAGGGCGCCAGGTCCCTTGGAAATGGAGTTGCAGGTGTGCTTGTAAGCCACTACTTGAGGGGCTAGGAAGGACTCAAACTTGTGTCCTTTGGAAGAGTAGCCAGTGCTTTTAATAGCTGAGCCTTCATGCTGATGCCCTGATGGTATCTCAGAAAAATGGAATCCTAGCCTGCTAACTCCCCAGCCCCTAGCTGGTTGGCTGTCCATGGGTGGTCAGAGGGACTCACAGCATATCCACTCAGAACCCTCAGTGACTCTTCCTCACTCTGAGTAAGAACAGAAAGTCCCCAACAGAGCCTGTGATGCTAATGTTCCTCCCTTTACCTTGTCTCCAGCCTGGCAACCCTGCTCCCTTCCTCTCCTGAATATTCCACCCTGGTGCCGCCACACAGTGAGCCCCACAAGGACTCGTATTTTAGTCTACCCGACTCAAAAGCCTATCTCCAGGCCTAGACACACCCAGGCTGTCAGCTTTTGTGGCAAGTGCCTTTCCCCCACAGGGCCATCTTGCCAGCTCAGTACTTGTATGGTTTATTAGTTAGATGCTGGAGGGTGTTTGGTTGAGAGTACCTGAACAGAGACGTCCAAGATGACAGACAGACGGAAAATGGCTGAGACAGCGGAGGAAGGGACGGAAGTGGGGAGTGGCAGGGAAGTAGGGGAAAGTCAGAGCTCCTTTCCAGGGGCTGCGTTCAAGTCTTCTCTGTCATTTCCTCTCAACCTCCTTTATACAGGTAAAGCTCAGAAGACAAACTGCCAAAGGTTGCACACCCAGCAGAGCCAGGGCTTGAAGCCAGGGTGTGGAACGCCAGACCACAGATTAGCCTCTTTCCTGCCACTGCCAGGTACCAGACAATGGAGAAATAAATGGGAGGGGGAGGTGGACCCGAGTTAGCCTTGAGGGAGGGTGGCTCCCAGGAAGAAACCAATCTGAGTGTGAGGCTTGGTGTTCGGGCTCTTGTGTCTCTCCTCTCCCCCAGAAAGGACCGTCGGCAGGCGGCCCACTTGCCCCAGGGGAGATGACAGGAACTGAGTCCTGTGCATTGGCAGCAATGGACATTATGATGACCCAGATTCCGGACAGCGGGTAGCCAGTTCCAGTTCCTGTGTTAATCCACTGCTAATGAAGGCAGGAAAACACGTACCTGCCTACAGCCACAAATCCCAGGGAAGGCAGAGAACAGCCTGGCTTTGTTTAGTTAGGGGCCTCCCAGCTTCAAGAGCCTCCTCCTGACAGTGATCTGGGGGGGAGACACCTGCTCCCCTTCAATCTTTGTCAGGCACTGCCAGGCTTCTGGCTCTAGCCCCGCTGCTGACTAGGATAACTTCAGCCTATACACCAGCTAAGCCTGGTTCTGGCTCAGTGTGGCAGACAGTAAGCACTGCTCTAAGTCGTGTGTTCAGGAGAAGGGTTCCCAATTAGGGGCCAGGATTCTGTTTTTAAATTAAGTCAATATCAAGACAGCAGATTCGGGCAGGACGAGGTGGCTCAGGCCTTTATGCCCAACACTCTGGACACAGAGTCTGGGAGATCTCTGAGTTCAAAACCAGTCTGCTATTCATAGTGATTCCAGAACAACCAGAGATACCCAGTGAGACTCTGTCTCAAAAGCGAAAGTGCAGGAGCAAGAGCGGATTTGTTCAGTGCCTTCTGGCTGATGCATCGGACATGGCAGCGATTGCTGCCTCCACCTCTCCTGGCCTATAGTGTAGGTTCAAGGGACCCACAGAGTCAGTTTGCAGGAACTGAACCTGAGTTTCCATACAAAGTAAGCAGGCTGTTCTGGAATAGCCAGAGAAAATCGCAGGCTCAGATCAGAGGTTGAGGCTGGGCCTGGCAAAGCCCTCTT